TTTTGCAGTCATATTCCATTATCAGAATCGAAATATCCAATGATCTCCAATTGATTAGATTTTCCTGAATGTGATCGTGTAATCCTTAGTTCTCTATAGATACCGAATAACATAATGACTATTTTCCAGATTTCCATCCCAGAGTTAATTAAATATCTGTCTAACATTCCAACAATAGACGCTATATCCAAATGTATGCAAACTTAAGCATACATTAAACTCCCAACTGTTGAAGCATGGGTAATTTCCTGTATTTTAGTTTCTTTAAATTCATCATTGAGACTAAACTTGCCTCCCTTAGTAATAGGGGTATCACCTGATTTACATATCTGCATCCCAAATCTCTTGAGAACCTTATCGATATAACTCTTTTGTGAAAATCAAAAAATACACTGAGAACGATCCATGTGTATTTATATCCTTAATACAAAAGAGGCGTCACCAAGATTTTTTATTTCAAAATTCCATAATATAAATTTTTTGGTTTCGTACAATAAGCTTATATCATTGTAGACGAACAGTATATCATCGACATACAATACCAAAAAATATGCTTACTCTCACTGAACTAGTGATATATACAACCATCAATTGAATTCATCTCAAAACCAAATGATATAATTATTTGATGAAATTTGTGATGCCATTACAGAAAACTAGCTTAAATTTATAGATGAATTTCTTTAATTTGTAAACCATCTGACGTAACTTAAGATTAAAATGTGTCACAGATGTCATAATTATCCTAAAAGAGTCTTTCATAGGAATTGGAGAAAAATCTCTTTAATGTCAATGCATTCCTTTTGAGTAAAACCATTTGCAACAAGACGAGCTTCATATCTCTCAACATCACCCTTTGAATCCCTATTGGTTTTAAATATTCAATTACAACTAATGGGTTATGCACCTCCAGGCAATAAGATGAGTTCTCAAACGTCATTGTTATTTATGAACTTTATCTCTTTATACATGACATCAATCCATTCTGCAAAATTATTCATTTGCATGGTTTGATGAAAGTTGATTGATCAGTTCTTTTTCCATAATCCATGTCATCCTTATTTTCTTGGAGAATGACAATAAAGTCATCCGAAATTGTCTTTCTCATTTTTATAGTGGATTTCCTTAATGGCATTTATTTTTTAGGTTGTTGAGTTTGTTTATCTGGAATAATCTTTTGATTGTGTATAGAGGATTGTGTAATAATGTCTTGATTCGAAATTGCTTCTTGAACAAGAATTTGTCCATGGTCCTGATGATTGTCAATTGCAACAGAATAAATATACATATTTTTCCTCCAAGACAAAGTCATCAACCTTATAACCTTATCTCCCCCCTCTCCCACCACAAACTCTACATCCTCAAAGAATCAGACATTTTCCGTTTCGAAAATTGACCTAATAATGAGATCTTTTCAAAAAAAAAAAAAAATTGTAACCCATTAACAATTCATTTATCTGTCATAGTATTCACACTATAATAAGATCTGACTTGTTAAATTGTTATACAAAGTTTTTCAACCTCAGCCTTATATGCTTTGAACATGTCTAGTATTTGGGATTTCTCATAAATGAGATATATGTAGTCATAGTGAGAAAAATTCGTCTATAAATATAATAAACTATTGTTGATCATTCCAAGAAGTCGAAGTGAATGACCCACATATACCCCGTATGAATTAATTCTAAGATATCCGAAATCCTATTGACACCTAACCTTCTTATATTTGTTTGTTTTCCCTTGATGTAATTAACAAAAACATTTAAGTCTGAAAATTAAGGAAATCAAGAATTCCTTCTGACGCAAGAGTTTACATTCTCTTTTGAAGAATGTTACCTAATCGTTTGTGTCATAACAAAGTAAAATTCTCATTGATTAATTTATGTTTAATACAATGTG